TCTTTGTTATCCAAGACTATCCTGAGAGGTCGAGGTCGGACAGTTTCCGACAAGGGCAGGGGGCCCAAGAAAGAGGAAGTATGCATTTTTAGTGGACATATTAAATATAAAAAGGGGTTTGGTGGAAATGATAGGGTTGTAATCGTGAAGGTTCAATTTGGGGACACAACCCTCCCCCCTCCCCGCGGACAAACGACAACAAGAGAGAAATTGATGAGGTCACAATATACCAGTTGGTGCGAAAGGACAGACAACGATAGATATACCATCATCATCATCATCTTTTTTAATAGCACGACCATTGGTGCGTAAGCGTCGTGAGTTGGGCACACGGCCACGTGGGATTTTGAGTGAGGTGGGAGAGGGAAGTAAGAAAGGTTACGACTCCCTCTGTTGGATGGGGAAGGTGGATGTCAAATCAGTGCGAACGCGTACAGCTGGATTAACGGTTGTTGAGGTCAGATAGGGACAGGGGTCAAGGAGTCGTTATCATAGGACCTCCGAGTGTATGCCTAGGTCAATATAACGGTTGCTACTGTCTCTATCAGACCAACAGATCACGTGAAATTTCCTCGCTCATTTTCTGTAAGCCATGTCCGCAAACTCAGCGTCCGCGCGTGACTCAACCTTTGTCTCGCTGACCCATTGTGGCAGATCGATATTTCTGTCTTCATTGATTGGCTGTAGCCGCACACATTTCGTGCCCGGGCGAGCAACCCCTCAAGGTGACGACTGCACTTATAAGGTGAGGAAGATAGCGGTACAACCTGTGCGTTCACTGGCTCATTGAAAGCTTTCCCATATAAAGGCGTAGGCGGCATAAAAAAAAACAATCAATCAGTTCAAGGCCGATAACTTCGACCAGTCATTCAAAACTCTGATTCACATTCGGAGTGAACGTTTTGAGAGTGGAAGGCTGGCCAAGCTCTCCAAAGCGTCAGCAAGAATTCAATTCGGTTTCGGTGAGCAACTTGACTTTCTCAGATTTTTAGCCCGTAACTGTCACCTTTGCCAATTTACGCTTGCCCATAAAACTATTTTGCCTGCATTCTGATTTGGGAAACTTGGAGTATTCATTTATTGGGAGCTCACGTCCGCGTTCCACATCGAGACATTCAGTCAACACTTGGGCCTACGTGGTCACACACGCCTCCAAAAAAATCTACGATAAACAACAGCAGGCCAAACCCCATTGCCACGCATCTCTCCGATGAATACGATAGGAACACACCCAACATCAGTGTTCATTATGGCGAGTGCTGCCTGAAACATTCCGCAATTTGAAAAAGACCGGTAATCCCTCGCAAAACAACATTGAGTAGAGTTGCAATACTGTTTATCATGCAGTGCAATTTAAATTATTTTCAGTCACGCTAGGATGCCCATCCCGTGATGAACTTCTTTTTGACCGCTGAGAGAAAGTTGGTTCTGTAAAAAATGGCTACTTAAATACTGTGCATTTTTATCATTGATTTTCACTGCCTTTATAAATTAAAATATATATATGGAACACATGCACGAAAAAAATCTTCTCTTGTACTTATTTGACAGCAAATTACGCCTCCTTTAAATATCAAACATCACTTGAACACGCCACCCATCGGTTGATGCAGCATGGACCACAATACAACACACATTTACTGGATATCATAGGGAATTGCGCAAAGATTTTTTTAAAATTAATTTGGAGATGCCCATCTATGTAGATAGATGAAATTTCAGAGAAGACTAATGTTTTTCGTTCATTTCATCTGTCCAAACGCGAATCCGCGATATGGGCACCGTTTGAAACGTCCTATAGTGTTTTTGCTATGTCATCTACGCAAGTTGCAAAGCCAATACGAGAAGAAATAAAATTTCCCATCCAGGAAATAAATTCTAAGTCACGACTCCTATTTATGAACGGGGACTCTAGGTGGTCTATTACAAATTGTCGTCTGACAATCCCATTGGCGCAATATACAAATACATAACAAAATGGTCCGTTATTGTGGGACATTTTCAGTTCAGTTCTGTTTATAGAGGGAAATAGGCATGCGGCATTGAGAACCCTATTTGCCACGTAAAATTGTGTGCAGTGTTAAGAATACCATTGTGGGCTGCCAAAGGGCTAACAGAGCCGTAAACCATGACCATTAGAACGACAGTTTCAAGGATAAAATTAAATTCCTTTTGATGACATGAATTGATGTTGTAACTTACCATACTAACAGCCTAGGTACTAGGTAAAAGGCCCACGTGTTTCGCCGGTATGCTGCCGCTGCTTAACACAGCTGCGAGGGGTTCGGCTCATCAGTGGGTCCCCCATCGTTCCCCGTTTGCTTTCTGATTGATATACTGGTTTTGAATGTTCAGCTTTCCAATCTCCTGAGAAATTAATTTCTGCTCGCGGTATAGATCAGTGTATTTAAGGTCTATAGGCGTAGACCGAAATTTTAAGTGCAAATTTCTTGAAGCCCGTCAACCACAGCAAAAAAATAGTTTGTGTTTTAGTTACATAAAGCAGAAATTTATGGGAATGTTTACTTTTGGCTTACACAATCAGAGAAAAATAAAATAATTAAAATCCCCATGGAAGGCGAATATCTTAGGCGTTAATATCAATGCTCATATCCATTTACACTTGAAGCAGCGACATAACGCACGGTCAATCACCTACCTCTGGAGATCTTATGAATTTCACAAAATGTCATGTCAGAAAGAGACCGCTTTGTTTTGAACATCGTGGAAGTCTAGTAACATCTCGCTAAGAGCTTTAGTGTCCACTTCATTATGGTTGCCTTTTGGCAGTACGTCGTCAATGACGGGCCTGAATAGCAGCACAAACAGAGGCCTCGTCGGAAGCAGAAGGCGTTGGCTGGGGCTTGCCAGTCAACAATCGAATTTGTGCTTTCGTATATTGAACATTAATGCAACAACCATACTTGGATGAGAAATCAGTTCTTAGTAAGATATCCCATATACGGCGTGACACGACTATAAATATATGTTCTGTCGTAAAGGAAGGGAATGTTACAGTTAGTGGAAACGAAAAAAAAGGTGGCTTAACTGAGAGCTGTCAGCGGTGCTTAACTGTCCTAAGCTTCCGGGTAGTAACCTCTTACAGTAGATGGATTATCTCATGCAATCCTACGATTTTTACAAGTAACTCCCTCTTACTCAAACGCAGCTCGAGCTGTGGCCCGCAAAGTCTTACAGCAATAAATTTATGATCGTTCTTTACAATAGGGCATATTATGATTTATGAAGGAATATAACGTTTT